CTGTTGACATAGACTTGCCGCTGCTGCTGGGGGCCCCGGGGGCCCCCCTCTTCCGCGCTAACAGTCAGTTCTGCTTGGTGAGCAGCAAAATAAAGATAATGATAGAAGTGGGGCCCTAATGAAGAGACACATAAAAGGGGGCCCCCTATAAGGAGACAGATAGAAGGGGGGCCCTAATGAAGAGACACATAAAAGGGGGGCCCTTTATAAGGAGACAGATAGAAGGGGGGGGCTATATAAAGAAAAAAGTAGAAGGGGGCCCCCTATAAAGAGACAGATAGAAGGGGGGGCCCCCCACTATAAGGAGACAGATAGAAGGGGGTCCCCCTATAAGGAGACAGATAGAAGGGGGGCTTCTCATAAAGAGACAGATAGGAGGGGGTCCCCACACTATACAGAGACACATAGAAGGGGGGGCCCTTTATGAGGAGACAGATAGAAGGGGGGCCCTCTGTAAGGAGACAGATAGAAGGGGGGCCTCCAAGGGGGGAGAGACATTGGGGGCCCCCACCCTCTGCTTTGGGGGCCCTCAGTGAGAGCGAAGAGAGATAGAGAGACAGATAATGCATGCCGCCTGTTCTCATGTTCCTGCTGTTGCTGTTGCTGCTGCTGTTGCTGCTGTTGCGGTTGCTGTTACTGCTGTTGGTACTGCTGCTGTTGCTGCTGTTGCTGCTGCTGCTGCTGCTGCTGCTGCTGCTGCAGGCGTATTTGAACGGCTGGCCTCACGTTTTTCTGTGTTCAATCCCTGGGGTGTCTCTTCGACCCGGGGAGATTTTGATTTACCACAGATTTAGCTGTTGGGGGCCCCTGCAGCAGCAGCAACAGCAACAGCAGCAGCAAATCGCAGCAGCAAGAGCGGCATTGCGCACGCGGCTAGCAGCAGCACTAGGTTCTCCTCGACCTTGCCTACGCAGCAGCAGCAGCAGCACTAGCAGGAACAACCAAAACAACAGCAACTGCAGCAGCAGCAGCAGCAACAGCAGGGGCTCTGAAGAGGATGAGGAGGTAGAGGGGGGCCCCCCGGGGGCCCCCCTCCTCCCCAGTACCCAAACTCAGTTAGGGGGGCCCCCCATGCTGCTGGCCCGTGATCGCGTCTCCAGCATTAATCAACTCCTTAAGCAGAGGGGCCCCCAGCGCTGCGATCGTTGTGAAGTATGCAAGAAGGGCAGCAGCTGCGCAGCAGCAGCAGCAGCAGCAGCAGCAGCAACACCAGCAGCAGCAGCAGCAGCAGCAGCAGGGGAGGAGGGTACTTCCTGTCGGCTGCTGCAGTGCGATGGGTGTCTCAGTACCTTCCATTGCTGCTGCTTGGGGGCCCCCAAGGGGGCCCCCCCTCCTCTTTCTGCTGCTGAGTGGCTCTGCAGCAGATGCGTAGAGCGAGGGCATGCAGCAGCAGCAGCAGTCTTGGGGCCCCCTGAGGCCCCCGACTTGCTGCAGCAGAGTTCGTATGCTGCTTCAACTCCCTTTATAGGGGCCCCCTGGACTGAAGAGGAGGGCCCCCCGAGGGCCCCCATGTCTCCTGTCCCAGCAGCAGCAGGTGCAGCAGCAGCAGGTCCAGCAGCAGCAGGTGCAGCAGCAACAGGTGTAGCAGCAGTAACAGCAGCAGCAACAGGTGCAGCAGCAACAGGTGCAGCAGCAACAGGTGCAGCAGCACCGGGTGCAGCTGCACCAGGTGCAGCAGCAGCAACAGCAGCAGCAGCAGGAACAACAACAACAGCAGCAGCAGCAGCAAGAAAGCCTTCAGAGTTGAGGGACACTGCTAGTTCTTCTGAGAAGAATTGTCTCTTTAGAGATGCAGCAGCAGCTGGCAGCAGTTTGCTGCAGTCGAGTGCAGCAGCAAATTTACTCTGTCTCCTTGTCCCCTGTCTTGTTAGGGGCCCCCAAGAAGCAGATGCGGTGGGGCCCCCAGTGCTGCTGCTATGATTGTTTTTGCTGCTGTCTCCTTCGTTTCTGCTTCTTTCTCTGCTGCTCTTCCGGTCTTCGTTCTTTGTCTCTCTCTGTCTGTCTCCCTGTCTCTCTGTCTCTGTCTCTGTCTGTCTCTCTGTCTCTGTCTCTGTCTGTCTCTCTGTCTCTCTGTCTCTTTGTCTCTGTCTCTGTCTGTCTCTC